AGGTAGCTAAAGAAATAATATTATGATGTGAAAGTGGAAGGTGAACGAAGAAGTAACAGTGAACACCTGATAAACAATAAATAGGGGAAAAGAGTCAACTCTGAGAACAGTGGGAGTAGAAGAACACGGGAGAAAACAGGCAACTGTTCTATATGCTGCATTAAAAGTAGATAAATAAATAAATATGGAGGAAGTACTTGTAAAATCAAGAGGGATAAAAAGGAGAAGGTAAACAGCCAGTAGCCACAGTCATAAAAATAAACAGGAAAATTTATAAGTACACCAGACAAAAATTCAGTCCATCAAACTATTCAGTTCTGCAAAAAAATAAAGGATCACTTTGAAAACAGACACTTCAGGAAAGGAAAACAGTGTCTTCATAGCTTTTTTCTTCATTGATGCCATTGAAGAGTTGCATAGCCTAGACTTAATCTTATTAGACAATAGAGGAGCAGCAGCACTGGCATAGACTGAGGTGTCAGGACAAATTGATAAAATCGAGAGCAACAAGTTACTAGGACCAGATGGTGATTATTCAAGATTTTTACAGGAATGTAAGAATGAAGTGGCTGAATTGTTAACAGAAATGACACTCTTCCTGGAATCAGCTACTGAACTAGAGAGTTGGAAGGTAAAAAATTTACATATGATTAATAAAAATGCTAGCGTTGATCTCAAAATAGCAGTTCAGTAGCCTTTGTTTCAGGAGCAGAAAGATTTATAGAAATTATGATAAAGTATCTTGCTAAACTTGACACGATAGGGAAAAATTAGCAAAACTTAAGAAAAGTCAGCCACCCTAATGTAGTGTAATTTTTACATCTATCAACAAACAATACACGGAATGTTTACTACAAATTATCTTTCAGAAAGATTTTGAAATAATTCATTTTAAGAAACCCTCTATTGATGGAGCTAAGAGCATCTCTACACTGTGCAGTGTAGACATGCTCTTGTATTGTTATATATTATAATACGTTATACAGTGTAATGTAACCCAAACCTTCTTGGTTTAGAGCTGAACCAGCTCTCTGGACTCACAAGCAGTACTGCCATGCCTATTCCAAGTGGCTTTTCTGAGAGAAAAGTTTTAAAAAGCAATATATAATTAACTCATTGACAAAATACATTGTGAAACCAGTAGCTTGGTGGGACTTAGAATTTATAAAAAGATAAGGTGTTAGTTGATGTACTAAAACCACATCTAGTTATAGTAGATTTAAAGAAAATCAAGAAATTAATCATGGATTATAAACTCCTAAGCTTCATGGCAGAAGTCAACCAGTAAGAAATGAATTTAAGAAGAAATATGTCCTTTGAGAAGAATAATTCTTCCTTGCCAGTCCTCTGGCATCTTCTACAGGCACTGGTAATAGTCTTCTCAGGAAACCAGACACTGAGCTATACTGGCCACTATTTTATAAATAGACCACCCCACACAACTTAATAAGCATGCAATTTTATGGTCTTATTTAATAGTATTACTAAGCTCAGGAATTAAGTCTGCCATTGTCTGCAACAGGGTCGGCACACAGTACTTTAAGGTCTATGATCCACTTTTTTCTTTTTTTAATTTTAAGATATTTTTCCATATTCTGGTAATAGACTTTATGCCAAAAGTTTACAAAACCCAAAGCAATTTAATACAAACTATCCCTTGTCATCTGTTGATTAATAGAGCGCTGCAAACCTGTCATGTAGCAGAAGAATTCTGCCCTGAGTTGTCACTACTTGAAGGTCTTATTCTACCACACTCTTAATGAATTGAGAACTGAGGCATGGTAAACTATTTTCTGCATTTCAAATTGGAGTGATTCTGTAGTCCGTTAAGTTCTATCAATTTAAGATATATGTAAACGGACTAGTGAAAGGAAAAAAAGAGATACCTTTAAAGCATGTTGCTCTGTCGTGAGAAGCCTTGTGAAATTGGTATTAATCTCCTATTTCAGGATATTAAACACTTTTATTGCAACATGACAACAGTTAAACATTAATTAAACCATCAAGAAAAATGAAAAAGAAATCAAAAACCCAAACCAGTTATATTTTACAGCAATACAACTGGTGAAATAGACCAAAATGCCCAAAACTGGAGAGGAGATTACACTATGTAAAAGCAGAGTTGTACTGAAAAATGATGTCTTTCTATCACAAGTCCGTAAAGTGCATTTCATGCCACTGTAATACCATTTCCTTTTAAATATTTGAAATTGAGGGGTAGAATCAAAACCATAGATGATGGATTAGGAAGACTTGAGAAATGATGGTGTAAGATTTAAGTGTCCAAGTGCTATCAGAAACTACATGTTATTTTCTGTAATGAATTGGTCATGTGGCACTTTGGCAGAGGTTTGGGCTACTAGGTCTATTTTCTTTAGCTATTACCTTATCAGGAAACTAATTTCTATAAGCAAATTATAATCCTTTACTAACACATCTTAATGAAAAATAGAGAAATGGAAGCTTTCTTTTTTTTTGTGGGTTTTCCCCCTGCTTATTTGCACTGTTCTGTTAAACCTCTGTATTTCCACAGCATCCTTTACCGCTCAACATTTCCATGAAAGACTCATCAGGAAGATTCTAAATGTGCACCTGGAGTTTTGCCATGACTTTTCAAAGGACTTGGACTAGCCCTATGTACCATTACACAGACGTAATAAATGTCACTGCTACTAATGGACTTTCCTGCACCATACCGAAATAACACAGAAAGTCTAAGTAAATGCAAATTGCTCTTACATGCAATAATTCTGATAAAAGAAAAGCACAATAATGGCTTTTTGAACATCACGCTATTGTAGAGGGTGCCCTCATTCCTGAGTAATAATATTCCTTTACATTTCATCAAATGTGAATGCATGTAATTAATTCCGTTTTCATAATTTCAGTCTCTGTCATTATCATGATCATAATAAGATCGACAAGCAAAAATTATACTATAACCAAGGTTTCAGATTTTCACAAACCTGATTGAACACTTTTTCACTAGACTGTCTGTACACCTGGAAAGGGTTGAAGACAGGCTGCTCTTCTTTGCCCTTCAGTGTCAAAGGCAGGCATCGACCGGAGGTAACACTGTCTCCAGCAGAATCCTCACAAGACAGCTGCTCTTTCAAATATTCCTTTTAGAAGAAAAAGCAACCACAAAACAGTATATGCCACCTAGCTTTCAAAGTGAAATTTGTCTAACTTCCAAGCATAACTTTACAGCGTGCTTCATAGAATTTCCTTCTGTTAAAGAAGGGAATAAGTAATCTCTTACAAAATAAAAACCTTTTTAAGAGCCACACCATTTTACAACAAACAATAAATAATGTCCACAAACATCCATCCAACTGAAGCAAATCAGAATAATCTAAGCTATTGTTTTGAAACTGTCATCAAATTACGCGCATCAGTTCTCATTTAATATATATACATTAGGTTTATGTGGAAGCAGAAAAAACAATGTTTTCTATGAGCTGTTCTAGTGTAAGATGGCTATTATATTATTTATTTTACATGATAAACTATACTTGAATATCTAAAGTTATTTTTTGGACAGCATTAAATAGTTACTACATGACTATAAATTAATTGCTTGATGAATATGTTCAAATCAGTTGTTTAAAACACAAGAAATAAATACTCTGCCACTCTTCAAAGCTATTTTTAATTGTTTAAGCATTCAAAGACTGGAAGTCATTTATGATTTACATGGCAATTTTAGGAACTATACTGTAACAGACGCATGATTATTTTGGCCACAATCTTTTCTGTTTTCACTTCTTAAACTCCTATGTAAATAAATCATCACTGCATGCCAATAAAGTGTTTTGATTAAACAGAACCATTTTACGAAGAGCTAGATAATGAAACACTTACAGATCTATTTGCTGGAAGGACTACTGTGATTAAACAGTTTATTGTTATTAAAATGAAGTCCATAACGATAGGATTGTCATAACATTGAGCAAGTACTCAAGGTGAGTCTTCAGTAAGATGGGTGGATGCAATGCTCCTTTTACTTTGCAGTACTACCGAAATGACAAAAATTTTCAGGCGCAGGTGAGAGAACACGCAAACTACCTGCCAAGGTACCCTGTGCTCCTCAGTGGGTCTTTCTAAAAGAATAATTCCATCATTGGCTTAAACTGATCCGACTGTGGTCTGGCCTGAAAGACACAAGTTCCCTCCTAATCCACACAGACTGTAGCTGCTGCTCTCTTGTGTTGGCACTAGCATATGTTGTGAAATCAGCCAGAAAAAAGAAAGGTTTCAGCCAGATAAATAAGCCACACAATTTCTCGTTCTAGCCTAAGAGTGGAAAAGCACAAGTGCAAGAGACAGAGCAGGACTGTCTCTCTGTTAGTTGCAACCAGTTGTCAGGACTGCTTAAGACAATCACAAAATCAGCTAAGTGTATTTTTAAAAAAAAAAAAAAAAGTCAGACTTTTTTCTGCTTTAAAACAACAGCATAATCCAGCTGTGAAAACACACCCTAAGTCTGTTACCTATATTTTCTCAGCCTACAAAGGTGACTGGGTTTTTTTGCCATTCATTCATGACTTCATGCCATAAAAAAGGTTTTAAACTCCTGGTAAAGGGGCTTATTTAAAAGCTATTTCTATATGTTTACCAATTTTTCATAAATATACTGACTTCCATGCACACATTTTCATGAAATCTGTAGACAGCTCTAAAGCAACCCATCCCTCTGGACACCAGAAGAAGATTCTGTTATTTTTTTAGTAGAGATATGGGAAATCGCTGTCCATGCTTGCTAGGGTTTGAACACTTTGGGTGGTATACAGCTCACCTCCCAGTATTTTTCTGTCTTTGGAATACTGTGGGTTTATGTTGTGACAAAGAGACTTATTCAATAATGGTAAATGCAAGAGTCATGTCTCAAAAATATGAAAATAAATAGAAATGATCTCATGTTTGTAAGTACGTGAGCTATATCCTCACTATCAACGACTGGGCATGAAACCACGTAGACAGAATATTATAGAGTCTGACAGCTCAGGAGAGTTGGTTTCTCTTTGGTAGCCATTAGTAAGAAAATGCTTTTAAAAATGATTGTTCTTTTTGATAAATACATAAAAGACTGTAGGCTGGTTTGAGTTCTACAGTATCTATTATAGATTTTTATAACATCCTACCTCTATTTCCAAATACAGCTTCCAAGAATCTATACTCCTTTTCACCTGCTTTTCTAAGGAAAATCATTGCGAACAACAATTTTCTGTCTCACGATTTTGTTCTCTATTCACACGCAATTATTAAGCAGTGTAGCATAAAGATCTCCAAACTAATTTTAAGAACATGATCCCTTGATAGTCCAAGGAGTCTCCAAACAAAAGAATGGACCTTTGAACAGATAATCAAGTCTACTTCTTGGTAGTCAGGCACATTAAACGTAATCTAAGTTATGAAAAATAATATTGAAAAGTGCATTATCATAATACAGTGCTAAGCATTAAAATGTTTTGCAATGGTTTCAAAGGTAATTTGAAGCAACACGGTTAAGTCCTTCTGTGAGTCAAGCTGGTCAAGATTTTTTTCCTTCTTTTTTTTTTAAAAACAAGACAGTTTTTTCCACTGAGAAATGTTCTATATTTAACAAAGCTCTTAGTAACTGCAGAAATTCAAGGAGAGACACCTGGGATGTAGCAAGTCAGGCTAAAGTCCCTCTTCCACCTAATTCTCTCAGCCTCTTACCTCCTATTGGAGCTGCTCCACTTTGTATAAATAACCGAATACTCACAGGAGCTGGATCTTGGATCGGGGTCTCCAGAACTCAGTATGGGCATTCTACCCCTTCAGATAAGAGTATGATTCTATTTTTGACCCTAGAAGTTACAGAGCGGATTTTTACAGCAATTTCTACAAGGTGAAACAACTCCAACAGGGAAAAAGGACAGATTTCCATGCTGGTAGCTAATGGTCTAGCGGTTTGGGGAGTTAGTTCGGATGCGGAAGATGCAGACTGATTTCCCTGGTCTAAACCAGGCAGAATGAAGATTTGAGCTTGCATATTCGGTCCCCTAGGTGACTGCCCTAACTACTGGATGACATGCTATTTTCGGAGGTCTTGCTCATCATCTTTTCCTCACTCCGTTATACTTAGAGTAATCCTGAATGTGCTCCAGGTGAAAAGGTTTTGTCTGAACTGTATTACAGTAATAATTTTCACTTCAGTTCCTGAACCATTTAATTGTTGGAGATGAAACTTGAAAAGATTCTGTATTGTATTAATATTAGGTTGCCATCTCTACACACATGCATACATTGCTTCTAAAGCTTCCAAATGCAGATGCGTAAGGGTTGCTTTTAAACCTATACTTAGGAACTAAACAGTTGATCTGATTTTCAGAAGCACAGTACCAGTACCGAGCTGCTCTCTGTTGCCTTCATACAGACATAGCTGCCTAATCGTTTTTGTTTTGCTGTAGATTTTTTTTACAAAGAAAAATCTCGGCCTATGCCTATATTTGCATTATTTTGCATTTTATTATAAACACTTCCGTACACATGCAATGATCTTAACAGCACCTGCTTATGCATTCAAGGAATAGTAATTTAGTAATTAAAGCTAATAAACAGAACTGTCTGAATTAAGCTGTGTAGATCTGTGTTATACAATTTAAGCAAACCTGTGTTTATTTCAGTGCATAAAATCAGAATGCTTTCGGTAACTTGGTGCAATTTGGTACAGCCTTAGAAATAATGAGCTAATTCTTTTGTATTGCCCAAATTCCATGTGCAGCAAACAAACTTGAATTTGGTTACTGTAATTTCGAAAGCACTGTAACTGAATAGAGTTATCTAGATAAAAGAAGGTTTTCATGTGGATGCATTTACTTCCTCATTACAGCCACAGGGCTTGTTTGTTTGTTTTTTAAATCAGGAGAATTGATTTACCACATTTAATTTTACTTCCTGCAACAGTCAATTTTTCAATAAACTTGCTGATTTTTTTATTTTTTTTTCTAAACTGTGTTCAAGCTCCTAAAAATGTATCTATGGTCTACAATACGAATCTGCAGGAAGTTTATGAGCCATACTACTGTTTAAGTACATAAATAAAATCTACATTGCTTCCCATAAAGTAATCTTTTCTGTACAAATGCAGAAAAGCCTAAACTGAATGGATTCTATTACAATACAATATAGGATTTCATATTGACTTTAAGAAGCATTATCACCTCCTTGACTAACCCTTAGCTGCCAGCAGACGCTGCCTCAGGCCAGTACACACCTAATTGCTCGGTAAAAAGGCCGTTTCCCTACCTCATTGAGCCGGATGATGTGATAAATTTGCCTCAGGTACTCGCTGCCACCTGGTTTGTGGCAGATATCCAGGACCATCATGTTTATTTTCTGCTCAGTGAATCCAAGTGCAATACCTCCTTCCTCTAACGTTGCACCTTCTACTGTGACTGAGGCACTAGAATATAGAAAAGATACAAATATGTTTAAGTTAACTTTCTAGAAAGCAAAATAATAATATAAAGTCAGATAAAAAAGCTGTTAAATGTTTTAAACGTTAAAAACAAAACCCTTTAAACATTTGGCTTGCACAAAACCAATGTTGCTGTATACACATCTGTGAAGCCTGTATACAAATACATAATAAATGCTGAATAACTTGTTTTTATTATATGAAATGTAATGATTTTAATCTCAAAGATGAAAACATAAAACATTCTTTACTCCAAGGCCATGCAAGGAGCAAATATTTTTAAATTTTCTTTTCCACTAGAGAAGTATCTTTACTACTAGAAATGGCATTTGCATTCGATCTTTTGTACATTTTTCTTTGCCTGTCGCTGCACATATTAAAGCCTAATTAACATGTCAGAAAGGTAGCCATTACTCTAAGTATAGGTTAGAAGTTTTAAATTGAAGTCTTTTTCTTCCCACTGCCATGGTGGTAACCACTTTAAAGGTATCTATTTGCCACTTGTTGCACGTTTTGCCCTGTACTGTTCCTCGGTTTTCTTCTTAAAAGTATTTGTGTGAAGCTGCAACAAAAAAATCTGAAGGTTACAGGCCCAAATGACTTGGAAAACGTGCATTCAAAACTCTGACTGTTGTTTCACTGTTCTCTCTGCATACGAACATGTTACCAGTTCTGTACTTGCTTAGTATTGTACATTGAAAAAGTATCAAGAAAAGAAGTACTAAAACTAATCCTTTTCATCAAATATTAGAGCTGCAACACCGATATATGTTGGCACCTTGACACAGATGTGTCAAGAACTTGAAAGACCAACAGAATACAGTCATCATTGGATTAATTTAAAATCTACCAAAGAAGCATTCTGAATTAAAAAAAGCAATGTTTAAAATTTTTTTTACAACTAAAAACACAAAGCCCCAGAATACTTTGGTACAGTCAGCTGTAAGCTGCAGTTTACGGTTGAGAGCGTGCCACGATTACAAAGTTAGCTCTGCTGAAAGTTGCTGTTTGACCTGCAGGCTCACTTAAATGCTACACAGCTGCTGGACATTAGAGCTGGTATTGCTTCCACATGCAGCTTCAGAACGTCCTACAGAGCAAATAGTTTCAAAATATAAACTATAATTTTGTTCTTTGCTGAATGGAAGTAAGCAATACTCTGTTATTATGGTGTATTTTACAGAAAAGCTTCAAAGAAATTGATCCTTAAAATTAAAGCACACTTCAGGCTGGTCTTTCCACGCCACACGCAGAGGCAACCTGAATTTCTTGTCAAACTTCTTAGCGACTGACATTGAAAAAGTTGAGGACCTCTGACAAAGCAGTGTGTCGGTGTCGGCACCCAGATTGTATCCTTTCCTGCCCGTCACTGTGCAGGTGAAGCAGATGATTGGATTCAGTCAGCACTATGATTAATGAGTTCCTCTCTGGATTTGGGACTGCCTATCAATCATGTCATTAGGAAGAATGTGCCCTGAAAGAGGCAGACCTCAGCCAAGGAATAACTGCATTCATCTTCATCTGTGTATGCACCCAGCCAGCCAAGTCAGGGTCACCATGATGAAAAACAATAATCTTCAACTCGACAAACTACTTTGCAAAGACAGACATTGCCTTTCTTCTCGGGATGCGTGTTCTTCAGAATCTAACGTGACTGTTTACAGCTCTGCTGCTACCATAAAGTGAAGGTTATTTTAATGAATAGTAATGCTTTCAGGCAGTACCCAAGACAGGCAATGCGTACAACTGCCACTTTCTGAGCCCTTCACTGAAGATTTTTGTTTTTTAATTTTCCTAAACACTAAGTTAAATTTGGATGCCACAATGGAAGAACCTATATAATATTTACACTGTTTATGTAGCTAGCAGTCCTGATAACAATAATGTTACACAAAATCAAGCAAGACTTTTGCTTGTAAAAATCCAGTGCACTTCAAAGATGTTTCCACAACTGCGTCGGTGAATCCCAAATAAATCTTTTGAAATTTATGGGTTTTATTATCTTCTACACACTGTATCTTTTAAAAGTCTATAAACATTTATAAATACGGATATATATAAAAATGCATATGCATAGAGTTACCCACAAAATACTTTAATTATGAGAAGGTTATACAGAACATAATTTTACACTAACTTAGATTTCCAAATATAATCATTCTTATCTCAAACAAATCACGTAAACATCACAATTCTCCTCTTGAAAAATCCGCTTTTAGTGATTATGTGACCGCTACTTAGTTAATTGATATTTGAATTTCAGCTTTAACATATTAGTTTTATAATTTGCATTTATAATAATATTTTATCACTACATTGGTTATCTCAGCTATTTATTACTCAGATTATTTTTTTCTCACAAATTGACTCATGATATTTGAATATGAAATGGAATAATAACTTTTATGCTGGATGTCTGTTGCAGAAACCCCACTGAAGTCAGGGGACCTCGCTTCATAACTGCATCATATAACTACTCACTTGAAGAGCAGGTAATGCATTCTCCAGTTTCTTAAACTTAAAATCAGGGACCCTAGTCACACACTAGTTCTCACTTTGTTTGACACTGTACACCTACAGAAAACATTTTCCCACATTCATTTCCCACAGTCTGATAGCTGGTGGGTAATACAGCATTTGTGCAGTATGTTAGAAAAGAAAGTAGGGTATCATTTTAATTTAAAATTATCATGATCATCAAAAGTGCAAATACTAAAGTTTTCGTTTATAGAGGTTATCCACAACATCGCCTTACCCTGTATTTCTGTTTTTTTAGAAAACACCTATTCTGTCAGTGACATTAGAAATTGTACTATGGAACCATTCTGTTAAGTGTCAATTTACACATTACCATTATGGGTTTTTTATTCTATGACTCTTTCAGTCACTGGCATCTGGCTTCAATCTTTTAATCACTGGATTAGAGCTTGTAAATTAGTATTAAATGGAAATGGAAAGATTACAAAGGTCAATGTCAATGAGCATTCGTGTGACACTATTACTGCTTAGTGCTACTCCCGTTAACTGACTGCTTGTAGAAACAGCATACTGTCCCTTAAAGCACTGCATGAATGTCTGTTCACTAATAGCAGTGATTCCAACCTACAATCACTATATCCTTTGTTTATACGGATAATCACTGTCAGGATAGCAATGACTGCAACCTTCAAGAATATTAATTAAAAAAAAAAAAGCAATCTTAGTTTCAGTAACCCACATTTTAATTCAGTAAATCATGTAACTGCAATAAACCTAATACTGGAAAGATAACGAACAGTGTTTTTACAGAAGGGTACGGTGACATCCACGTGAAAACAGACTGGACTAGGAACACACTGACACACACAACTTCTTGAAAAATCTATATAAGGATTTAAAACACTCGGACCTTAATGTCAAATCTGCAGGGAAGGTTGATATTTCCTCAGAAAAGCACAGCAGGGTACTCTCCTTGTCCTGTTCTGATATATTCTACTTGCCCTCAGGGTTTGTTATGTTTTAAAATGAAGTAGGCTTACTTTTTAATCACAGATGAACGCTGAAAGCTTTTCATAGTCCCTCTTAATTTAATCACCCTAGCAAAATTAATTCATAAATATGTTGTGGTGCCTTCTAGTCAGTGTACCTGTTCACATTCTGAAAGACACACCAAATACATTGTCCACATTTTTGGATCATCATGATATTATGAAATCTGTAAGTGCTATGAAGACACTGTTCCGATGAAACAGCCACAGTTTACTGCTTCAACAACGCAATTAAGTTGCAAAAACATGCTTTAAAGCCATCAATATTAAGAACTAATCCATTTCATAGAAGATCCATTCATACAACCTATTTTTTTTTAGATTGAACAATAGCCATAAAGATGCCAATAATCCAGTAAAATGAAGAACAAACAACAGCATTTGAAAAATACTACATTCTTACCAGTCTGTGCTCAATTTTCTTGCCTTCAGCAACTGGCTTTCAATCCAGTTTGGTCTTTGCTGTTCAATGCTTTGTATAACCTTCTGGGTCACTTGCTTAGGACCACTTTTCTGTTTTCCCATAATACTTTCCAAGCACACACGAACTAAACTGAGTTTTTCTTTGCTCCATCTGTCAAGTGTTGCACCTGTTAAACGTTCTGCAGTATTTCCATCCTCAAATATCCGACATATAATTACAATCAAGTTCCAGACAAGCAGACCAGCTTTCTTCAATTCAGCAAAGTTTCTTGACATTTTTCTCTCAGCCAGAAAAAAGAAGTACTTAATTGGGGGAGGCAAACATGCAATCACTGTAGGTAACTTGCTGATTACAATAGATACTGCCTGAGCTGCAAGCCTTGTGAAGCCTTAAAAAAAAGAAAGAAAAGAAGATATGATTAACATTAACATTTTAGTTCTATCACAGCACGCTTCTGAATGTTGTATGATAATTTCTAACTTTCTTTTGTACTGAAAATGGGTAAAAAGCTGAAGTACTCAACACTGTAGCTTGACTTCTATTGTCCTTCCTCCATATATACCCCACAAAATGTAAACAATAACTTGAATTAAAAACAGAGAACCTAGAAAATTTAGAATTTAGACTGTGACTCTCTTCACAATTAGTCCTGCTGTGCACAGTTATTGCAGACTAAATGAAAAAGACAATACCCCAGTATTCTGAATGGTAGAAAAGTTGTCTTCAGAATTGTAGTGTAACTCCACAAGTGGAGCACTGCAGTAGGATATTACATATGTTCATAATCTTTAGTTTCCTATCAATCCCTTTCTATGTTCAAATCTATAAACCTTCAGTTTATCAACTTTCATACAAGCATGCATACTATATAGCACTGGATTCTAAACATTCCAGATACCGAAAGTAGCTATAGAAGTAGCTACAGAAAATATGCTGCTAAAAATCCAAGACATACTACAATTAAAAAAAATACCAAAAGGTCATCCACAATACGGAGTCAAGTGAAGATTTAAAAAAACACCAAAACAAACCCCAAACAAACCCGGAAACCCCCTGACTCCTTGCACCTGTGTTCTCAACTTATTGAAAAAGAAATAGCCAGATCCGTTCCAGGTGTCACAAAGCCAATTTAATTTGTCACTAAGTCTGAGCCTCACCTCCCAGCATGCATATAATTTCAGGCTTAGCAATAGACTCAGAATAGCCAATTTTGGCTACAAGCTCTAGATCAAAGTGAGGTTGCAGTGAGAGTGCAGCGCTGCATAAATGGGCCTCAACATGCTGAAGAGGAGATGTATGGAAAGAAAGAATGGATCAATGCCATGGCTTGCCCACAATCTACATAATCAAAACTTCATGCCAGAAAATGCTACAGTGATACTACTGAATTGAAAACAATCAGGCAATACTTTGGCAGCAATAAATTTATGGTGAAATGTATCCAAAAGTTAGCCTTTTCAAATGATGGAGGTTTTAGGCACTGTATGTGATGAAAATATATACCAGAAATAATCTTTACATCCAATCACCTTCAAAACATCTCCTATTACATATATTATTTCTCTTTCTTCAGTAAATGTTTCAACAACCAAGAAGGAGCAAACTCCATACCAGTTTCAGTGCTATTCAAACACAGATCACCGTTGTAAAGTTGGGATGAATGAGTTGTTATCATTTCAGACAACACAGTGTATTTAAATTTAAACAGTTCTGAATGAAAATATGACAAATAAGAGAAGAACTGGTTAAAGCCATTAAGACAAGAGCATAGACATTGTGCTTTACTCTGTGTTGAATCCCACCTTACTACTGCCAGATGCTGAAAACATTTTCCGTACTGTTATTATCAGTACTACAGTACTGATTATTTTAAAAAGCTGTTTGTGTATGCATGGGTGTAAGACTCAAAAAAGAGATACTGAATTTTAATGGTAAGTACTTTAAAAAAAACAAAGGATGCTTGGAAATTGTTTATTTCATTGTCAAACTGCAAAGCTCATGAACTAATAATAACTGTTCAATTTTGCTACGTGTTCATTAAAGGGGTAAAAAGCTTTTAAACAAATTTACAAAACAGCATAAATTTCACCCACACTTCCCAGATTCTTTTCTCTTCATTTCTCGAGGAGTGTAATTCCATTCCTTTGGAACCGTTTTCAGTAAACTTCCAGGAACTATTTGCTTGTGCTGGTATGTTCCATAGTTTTCTGTTGCCTCCCATGAATGCATCAAAGAAATTATCTGCTTCACTGTACCCTTGACTGAATTAATCAAAGTCAACTTCAAGCATCTGATAACCTCTGGCTCCGACTCACCACAACTGGAAACTTCAGAAGGAAGAATTATTAAATATTCAATAAGTGTAGTCATTTGTGTAAATCTGTTTCAGAAAGAAGTGTTTTGAAATTCTTATGAAAAGTAAAAACATTATGATTCATAGTAAGTTAGACCTATCGGTGTGTTACAAATTAAAGAAAGAGTATAAAGCAAAACAGTGCAGCATCTTGTACCATCTTAATACAGTACTGACAAAAATTACAATTGAGTGTATTTCCTTCATCCTCATTTCTCTATCAATATATTTTGAAAAATTTAATTTAAGCTGACTGATGTCTTCCTTTTTATATGGAGTACATTTAATTACTTGTTAGACATCAATGAGGCAAACGGATATATCTATTATTTTCTACTTCCTTGTCTTGATAGTATTAATGAAGTTGCGTTTATTAGATACCCAGACTGTTATACCAGAGAACAGCAATGGAAAAAAAGACATTTTGGAAACAAAAATGCATACAAATAATAGTCATTAACAGAGATGTAGCATGTCATCAGAGACTGCATGTTGAAATTAGACCATCTTAAATATAGTTATTGACATTGCAACAAGTACCAATCTTCTCCGTGTTCTTAATACCACAGTGAACTGCAGTTTTTCCATTGACACGGAGCAGCAGTTGGCAGGCAGAGTGCTGCAGGACGTATCAGAGATGGCTTTTGACCTGTTAGGCCCTTGGCTCATACGTTGGCTTGTCTGTATTTTTTGCTGATCTAAGTTTCATTCTTCTCTGCATGGCCTTTCTGGAAGCTTCCATGCAATATTTCTATATTTTCTTTTGTCTTACACTTTAGACTTCTACCTGTTGCAATCCCATTTTTCTCTGAGGAATACCTGAGCACTTTTACCACCATTATTTTCTATTCTGTGATGTTCGTAATTCTGTTTCCCCTCTTACATTCTCCCATTCTCTTCGTTCTTTTCTTTTGAGCGTTCCTGTGTTTTAGCCATTATTTGCAAGATCACCCTTCTAAATCCCATCTCTCTTTTCTCGCTGAATACTGCTTTTCCTTGAGGGCAGTATTAGTTGCTCTAGTCGTGATGGCAGCTCTCCCTCTATGTGGAAAATTAGGAGCCTGTCTGCCTGTTGACAGCAGAGTCTACGTACCCATCAGACTATGTCACCCTCAATGGGAGTCCCTCCTCTTCTTTTTCCGCTCTCTTTTAATTGTTTCTTACTTTTAAATCATGGCAAAGGTCTGGAGCTGTTACATGCAGAGAGACAAAGAATCTGTATTGCTAGACAGCTGTCTGCCGCCACCCTGCTGGTAAGACAGACGCTTAAAAAAATCAGACTCCTGGTTGACCACACCTCTCCATAACCTCTGCTTTCTTCAAAATTTTCACCACTCCTGCCACAACCTGATTCCTCAAAACACTTCAATTATAGTATAATTTTGATGTAAACTACCATCGCTTCATCTGATTTATCAAGGTAAAAATAATATGCTCTACATGTCTGATAACTGAACAGTTTAACATCAGATTTTAAATACTTATTAATAAATTAAATACCTGTCATATTGTATAAGCAACCCCACAACTGCTCTTTTTCCATGTAGGTCTCAAAAGCATTGCCAAGAGATCTGGGTGATAGAGTGCAGTAAGACAATATTGTGAAGAGTGTTTCAATCAGAGTAGGCTCTTTGTTATTTATCTGTTCCAAGAGAGAACTTTGTTCATCACAATTCAATACTTCATTTCCTTCAAAATAAAAAAACCAAACCATGGTTACAACAATTTCCAAGTAATTCCAGTTCACAGTAATAGATAGTATTAATCAAAACAAACTGCAAACTGTATCTGAATAATATTTCAAACAACGTTACAGATACTGAAATCTGATCTTCCTCTGCATAACGACACTTGAATGTCTTCCTGAATTATATGCAGCCATTAAAAAAACAAGACTCCAGCATGTTTACAAACTATGGAACATGTCTATTTAATTCAAATTTAACTCAGTATGTAATTGGAATTTGATTATTTACTAAACATTAATCAGAAGTAAATTGTACTACTTCTGTAGAATCACAGTCAGAAAATGCTTAACTCCTCTTATCAATATATTAGTCATGTGAAATAACAGGACTCTAGTTAAATAAAATAAAATAAATAAAATAAAATAAAATAAGATAAAATAAATTAAAATAAAATAAAATAAAGTAGCAGCTGCATACTCCCCAAAATGGGTTGGCTTTGTTTTTCAGTATAAGCTGACATGGAGAAGAAATCAGTTCTGAAAAACAAAACCTCAGCCCTGCTGAGATACAGATAGCTATGTTTTTAAAGACAACTAGTGATTTTCATCGAGTTGAGTGGTATCAGCTTACATAACATTTATTTCTAAATGTTTTTCATAATCATTATAAAACATGGTCCCAGCTGAAAGATAATGATGTGTTTAAACCCCTTTGAACCAATGCAACTCAATGGCTTTGACTTGCGCTACTGCCAAAGACCTCAGCTTCCCACATATTTGTGGAATATGCTTTTGATGTTAACAATCATAACAAATGACCAGAGCCAGAACCAATTAAACACTTTTTAAATTTAAATTTCCAGTTTGCAAAACTGAAAGTTTCTGAAAAACTGATTTAGATAAAATTATACTTGAAAATGTAATTGTTTTATGCCAGTTTGGCTGCGCTTATCTTTACCAACCTGTGCAGGAGAAAGATCGGAGAGACTAAATTTCTAGGCTGCATTTTTCTAGTAGTTCAAACAGTCTTCAGCATCTACCACAGTGGAAAACTGCTGCTTTACACCCAGCTCTGAATGACTTGAGAATGTTGTGAAATTCAGAAATCTCATTTTACTCTCCTCTGAATTCCTACAATCTAATTCACACATTATTGTAAACCATTCAGTCTGGGTAGCATGCAGCCTTAAGAGAAAGAGCCCACAGGATGTCGAAAGCTGAAAAACAAGACCAGTGATTTCATAACTAAGAAGCTGTGGGTTTTTTTCCCAAGGCAGGAGACAGATGAGCAGTAAGAATTTTTTTTTAGTCAGCTTTTTTATATGAGTTGAGTGAGCTGGCATATTTTGCTGAGACACCTTCCAATGCCAGATGCTTGAGTGAAGAATCAAATGGATTCCACTAATTCACTCAAACCAGTGATACGTTGTCTGATATGGATATGACAAAGAAAGAACCAAGAAAGCAGAAAAAGCAGTTCAAAAAGGAAAACCCGGAGGTATTCAAATTATGAGATGAAAATTTGAATTGAACTTTGATTACATTACTATTTTTCTTTAAAATTCATTTAACTAAATTCTAGGGAGGAGGATTTGCTGAGATTTTAAATACTATGTAAACTGTCTTTGCAGAACATGACGGGAAATTGCTTTGTTTAAAGGGGCTTATGACTTGAAATTAAGCCTAAATTTGATTTATGATCATGCCACATGGAAAGTTTGAGTCACAACTTGTTAATAACTTCTCTAATCACCTTACTGCTACCAATAAATTTAGATGAATGGAAAGAAGTATAAAAGTATTTTGTAGGGGGTTATACATATATCTTCTTGTAACTAGTGCATAATACAAGTCTTGTGCTTTTAAGCAAAGTTCTTCAGGAATCCACCGGGAAATCATTCTGAGGATAAACATAACAAGATATGTAAGCTTTCATCAGCTTTTTCTTGTTCTACCCTGAAGTAAATGTTGCCCTTCTTGCAAGAAAATCTGACATTTCAAAGCTCAGGTTGAAATGAGTTTTCTGACTGATAAACTGGCATGGATCATAAAATCATAGAATCATAGAAAAGTTTGGGTTGGAAGGGACATTAAAGGATAATGTCACTTGGTTGAAAGCTTTAGCTAGCTGATCAGTATAGCTGGTTAAATATTATGAATCAGGAGTCTACAGAAAGAAATGCAGATTTCTCTTGCCTTAGAATTTTTCTTTAACATTTATTAGCTCACCTGTCATAACATTAAATATTCATCTTAGTTTGAACTCCAATACAGCTTTCTTGATAATCATCACCTAAGAACAGTATTTATATAATAGGCATCATACTTATTGCCCACTGATGCTTCCCTCTACATATTTCTCTTTCTTCCACTTACTGCATTTGTATATCAAAAGCCAGTCTGTGAAGGGAATCTACATCTCCTACAGGTAGCTCAAAGGAGATGCTTCTTTTTCATTTCAGTGGGACTTACATCCATACATACCTGTTAAAGAAAACCTGCTATTTGTTATATCTACATATCATAATGTTCTATATGCACAGAGGATGCTGAAATATTAAAAAATGAATATTATTAATATTTATCTTTATAAGAAAATTATGTATCTAGTGAATAACAGCTCTGCCCTAACCACTCACAATGAATCATTCTTCCTATGACAAAGTAATGCACTTAACCTCTTGGGACAGGATCACGTATTTTAAAAACATATCTTCAGAGAGGCAGACTTACAAGCTTACTTTATCCATATTTCTTCCTTACTGATAAAAATACCTCCCAGTAACTTGCTGATATTATCACACTCATCCAGCTCTTATCTGCTACTGGTTGAGCCACTAAATGAATCTTAGTGAATTTAGAAAATATTCCGTCATTGACTCTAGACTTCTCTTCCCCTCGTGAAGCCTTACAAGACAGACAGGCTATAAACAGTTATACTGCCTTTTTTGACCAAAAGAGGTAGTCAGAATTCCGATTTCTACATGCTGTTACATTTAGGAAGGGAAACTGGAGATGGAGCAAGTTATTTTTGATACAGTTCTTTTATTTGCCAAGAGCATAAAACTTCTGCTCTCTTCATAGTTTAAATCACAGCAGCTGATGACAATATATAGAGAATGCAAAAAGGATATATTTTATTTGTTTGTAGGACCAAATCTTTCAGCAGGCACGCTGCACTGCTTGCTTCCTTGCACTATATTCTCAGTGCTTCTTCTGTCACTGGCTTTTTTTCTATTCTTTTTCCGTATCTGTTCTGGTAGATCATTTTACTTGTCTCTCATAAAGTTGCTCGTCTCCAATGTAATAATTCTCCAGTCAGCCTTGACAGCTAGAATCTATCGTAACTTTGAATATGAGTTCATTTTGGCAGAAAGTGTATCATTTTAGTTTTTAATTCCAAAAAGAAATTTTCGATCATATTACTTCTATCCTGAATGAAATTCAGGTCTTAACCCTACCCATTTCAATTTAGTAAAACCCAAATAACAACCCGTGTGTCACCTGCTACCTGTGAACCCAAGGAATCCTTTATGACAACTAAAAAGCTCAACACAAGACAAAAAGACTTTAACAAACTTTCTATCATCTGCCTGAAAAATCATTAACATATCAGAAAACTACTTCTGTGCCTATATATTTATACGTCACTAATCCCATAGTATTTTACTCTCATTCGACTTCAGAATTTTTTGTCCCTAAACATTTTATTTTCACCTATCTGAGAACAAGCTTCCACTAATGGATCTTTGGGTTAATGGCTTCTGTGAAATCTATCTTACCCAGGTCAAACGGAAAAATCATTACTATCAGAATCCCCAAGCTCTGATTTTATGGTATAATATGCTGAAATTGTGGCATTCTGGTAGACAAAATTTGATGAAGTAATCTTTAATTTAGTGCTGTGGCCACATTACCTCCTCTGTATTACCGCACGTATAGGCACCAATACTGAACAAGTTACCCTCTTAAAATGTGTTCAGTCTAGAGCTCTACTGTCACAAGGAGTTCCTACCAGAAATGACTAGGTCTTTGAAAAGCTATCCATATGACCATACAACACAGTCACAGAGACTATCACAAATATATCACAGAGACTATCTTCACACTTTGTCAAGAGAAGGTATGTGATTCTCAGCAGGTCTCTGTTACAGTCCAAATGGAAATTCCTATTCTACGTTTCAGAAACTCCATAAAATCTGTTTACTGTTTTCTTTAGCTTATCACTGGAAAGCCATCAAAAGGAATAGGATCTCTGATTAAGATCCCTTTTCTATTGATCTTCCAGCTAGAAGTACATCATGCTAGTAAGCACGTCTACCATTTTACCACATTGGTTATGCAGGTACAGTACCCAGTAAGTTTACTGGTCAGATGGATATTTTGAGGAGATGCCACTTTTAAAACAATTATCTAATCTTCTGATGTTAGGCTACCACGATACAGTTTGATATCATGACGAAGCTAAGAAAACTCCCAGGTGTTCTGGAATCTGCACTCACAAGCCTCATCCCAGATGATCTACTATAATCTGGAGTAGAGAGCTATCTGCACAAGCATATACATTCCTCGGAGAGACCTACTTGTGCTCTCCCAATGACAACAGTTAACCCCCAACATGCAGATTAACCCCCAAGTTTTGGGGAAAAAACTGCAAGACTATATTTCCCCAAAACTGTATGTAGTTGAACCATGGGATTAGCACAGTTGCTAGTTTTTCCAGTTGCCCAGTAGACTGTGCCTCAGGATTATTAAATCCGACAAGTTATTACAAAGGATTACAAAAATAATTACCTTCAGGTACTTGAAATAAGAGTTTTGAATTGATATACAGATTTAGCCAATGCCAGGACTTTTTTAATGGAGATGGTAGTTTATTTAGGGAATGTACATTTTGTTTTGTAATAACTCCCTATTGTCACTAGAAGTTCTGTCTGACTCCTAACAGAGGTCAGTTGGTAAAGTTACCATCTTTCAATGTTCTTTTGGAGTAACTTGCAAAAAATCACTGCTATTTACCTTTAAATGACTAAAAGTTACCTAATTTAATGATATTGTGTTAAAATTTAGTTAGTGCTTAAAATTTACCTTAAAATGCCACATTATACATTGTGGCAGTTAAAGAGCTGCTTCACAAGGGGAAAAGAATTGGAGCGGTGAAAAAGAAAATGTTTCCATTCTACAAACAGATTTTCAAGTCATTTCTCTTGCCAGATATCAGTTTACAAAAGCACAGTCTTAGAAAACTCTCCATATCTATTAGTGCCTAGGGAGCTGGCTAATACTGCATCACAGTTTTATTTGCTCAGTAGAAACCCTCCCTTCCCCGCCCTGCTTATGTGTGCAAGGTAAATTACCTCTTTTTGAAGCAACTCACATTTCTTTGGGTCCAATTTCAGGTTTGCAGCCTTAAGCTTATCACAGAATATTTGCAAATGTTACTATCAGTTCTTATTTCAAAGCTTTAGTGGGGACCAGGGTATCATCTAGGTTTAACTGTACAAGGCTACACAATACCCTCTTCCATTAGTCTCTCAAAAATGCATTGTGCAAGCCAAAAACATTAGGTGAAACTGCCAAAGGCCTTGTCCTGCTGTGAAAGCAGTTTTCTTCCAGTTTATCTCCACATGCCAGTATTCACTTTAAAGTTGAGTGTAGAAAATGAAATTAAATCTCTGTAACAACTGGGGTCTCATGTATTCATTTTAATGAATAAGATTTTTGTAAAAGGAATACATTGCTTTTTCTATTGTACATCATTAACTTGGTGCTACCATCTGTTCTTCTTGTGTATGTGAGGTCCAAGGACTGACTGAAGGCCTCAGATGCGCCTTGTTGATGACTTCTCAGTGATCTCTTTCTTATCTGCTATTGGTAACTGGCGAGGTGTCTGTTGACTGATGAGGTTCCCTTTGGTATTAATCCTATACTGGGCCAGTGTAATTCAGTAAAGCTATTGCTTCTGGTTTATTATGCAAAGAATAACTGCTGGTTCCTGGAAATAAAAACTCTCAAACGAGAAGTCACAGACTGTTCTGCTGGCATGCTATGCATTTAAAGCAAGTCTAGCAGAAATTCTCAGAGTTCACTTTCACCCTTCCCATTTTCATATCAGCATCTGCTGGATTCAGTAACTCATTACACAAGCACCTCTTTCTTCACTCCCCTGTTATTTGTTGCTTGTCAAAATAATCCATTTCTGTTTCATATCCATGGGTGATAAAGTACTTCTGATAAAAAATTCCACCAAGAAAAAGGCAAAACAGTTTGTTTTGTCAGGAAATTTACACATGACCAGTTACCTTCATTATTTCTCTCTGCAAAGGCACAGCAAAGGCCCTAGACCCTTCACTCACTCAAGAATGTGTCTTGGAAGAAGTTTTGTGAATGTTGGACCCACAGAAAAAAACTCTGGGATTGTATTACGCTGTAGTTAACTGTAATTCAATACAACTAGGTTATTTAGACTCATAGTTTAAGTTACAGAGGCCCAATATGCAAATCCAATTTTTCAACTCGTTTTTCAAAGGTGCCTTTTAGCCAGTGGCCATACTCACTGGAGAGAGGTAAGTGGTTCAGTTTTGAGTGTCCTGATCTATTGCCTTTAGTATTTTTGATGTGATAACTTCATATTTGAGGAACATTTTACTTTTTATGTACATTTCATATATCAAATTGCACAAAAAAAATGACAGAAGTCCAAGTCTCGTCACCTCCCTGTCCGGATAGCTTATAGTTACATACGTGGAGTTTCAATAGCTTCAAAAAATACGATAGCCTTCTTAAAATATTTAGCAACACTGTGTCCTGCATACATGCACTCCCTCTAAATACTCTTTCTACTGAGATAACCTTGCCAATCCCAACAGTACTCCCTGCTATGACAGGGAACACATAGTATTTCTGAGCCTCACCATGGTAGAACCGTATGAGAACAATGGGAGTGCAATCAAATTCAATGTGTTTGTTTGATGCCTACTATAAGTATCCCAAAGTACTGCTACAATACAAAAAACATGTTATCATTACCTAAAAACTTCTACATACAAGCACTTCCTAACACAGAATTTTTGCCTTCTGGCCTGGTTTTTAAAGAGAAAAGGAAAGACTATGTGTAAAGTGAAGTAAAATGTGAGAAGGCTTTTCCTATTTAAAAACTTCTTATCATCTAGTTACATACCAGGGAGTTTCATTATCACTACGGCAAATCACTCAAGAACTACCGTATACTTAGCTTTTTGTCTGTTCTCATGTGTAATATTACACATTACAAAATTTTACTGCTGATGAGTACATAATTCTGTAAGCCCTTTCTCCTACAGAACAGAAGAATCCAAAACTGCCATTGCTAGTACAAAGGTATAGCTTGTACTAATACATAATGGCTCACACAATAAAAAAATTTCAGTTTATATAGCATCAGAAAGCTGCTGTATAGGAGATTAAATAAAGAATGCAAGCATTTTCTCATTAGATAATTTACCCTATTGAAACTAATTTGGAAGATACAGATCATCGCAAGTTTCAGCTTTATCAAAACTGAAAGTGTATTCATACCAATACAGTAATTACATTAATAAAGTCTGTGTAAACAGCGCATTTTCTAATTCAAAGTAGCACATATTTCCCTGAAGCTCAAGAGGTTGGCCAGTCAATAGATTAATACATTCTGTCACCTAATACCTGAGATGATATAAGCAGCTAGTAAAATTCAGTACTGGATAACACTAGGGTAAGAATATGATCCTGATCAAACATTTGTCAGTCTTTGTAAAAGATGACAGGTATTTGAGTAGGTAAGTGGATGCAGTGCAGCTCTCAATAAGATTCATGACAGAAGTGGAAGCAATGTTGTACCCCTGACAAATGCTAGACCACTTTAAAATGACAGAACTCAATTACGTTATACATAATATTATTATGTGGACCTAATAGTTTTTTTGATAACTAGGGAGAATTCTTTTGCTAAAGAAAGATAGAAACTGAGACTCTCATTCACTATTACTGCAAAATTATGTCAAACAGGTGATTGTACCATTAGCTTTTCAACAATCCGATCATTTGATCCGAAAGCTATTAAAAGATGTGATAAAGTTTGTTGCTTCAAACACAATATTAGCAGAATGAAAAGAAAACCTTGTAGAACCATTATTTTATTTGCTCTACTTTCAACACGGCATTAAAGAGAGTGTTAACATGAGGAAGCATATAAATGTACTTCTAGAATGCCTACAGTGACAAACATAAGTAACTTCAAGAAAACCTTGAAGAAGCTTTTCACTGTTGAAACATAACTTTCAAACTACTAATCCACACTTTTAAACACCTGTATAAAGCAGTTGTATCAAAGCTCTGTTAAGTCCAAATTCATTTTGACTCCTTTGCATTTATGACAGCAGCCTATTTTATCAAATCATAGTCTGCTTTGAAACTATGAATACTCAGATTGACTGCAAAACATTCTCATTACAAAAGCAATGATTTTTTTCTTTCATTTTACTCATTCAAGAAGTGTCCTACTGATCACTGAATGGGTACTGATACCCCCAAAAATAATTGACAGCTTTCCTTCAGTATTTAGGTAGTTAAAAATTAATTTGTATTTCTCACTGATAAGGATCAACAGTATACATACTTACTTGAACTTCTCAGTAAAATTTTCACTAAGAGACAATCATGATGTAGCAATGTTTCCAAAAGCAAGCTCAAATTACAGTACGGCTGGGATAAGAGCAGTTTCAGCTGACCGTGGGCTGCCATTTCTCTGGCTGGTGGAGTCCTTTCGAAATGCAAGATAAAGACAAAATAATGTAGTTAATTTATCTATGAAATTAATATCCTTAAAGTGCAGATGTAATGCTAACTCCCTTAAATGTCAGTTCCTCCTAGATTACTCTGAAAATGCTTTCATGCTTGCTTACTTTAAGGCAGCTCAGGGACGGAATTACATTTAATCTCAACAAGCTAAAAGCAAATTAACATTTGGTAGTCTGCCAAAGTTATAACTGATACAAAGCAACTTCATTTATCTCTTTCATTGAACCATGTTTGCCTTGTTCCACCAGGCAAAAAGGATCTTTTTTTGTGCTTGAATAAATTTAAGGCTATTATTCTCTAGTTCACTGTTACATTAATTGTTTAGTAAGAGCTCTGAAGTGTCCTGGATGAAGTATATGAAGCTCTTTATTAAAAAACAGAGAGAATGCTCAAAGGGGCTGCAAGATTCCACATTAGGTTGACCAATTCTTCCACAACCCAAAAATTCCACGTGAAATATTAGACTGGTTGGATAACTGCTTTGCTGGCAGGGAGAAGTAAGAAAGCGTAGTATAAATTCATTAGCTTTTAAGGAGATTGCGCTTTGTTCTCTGTTTGTAGTTTCCATGTTCTGCAAAAGTTCAGGCTTCCCAACAAAAACATTCCAGGGCTTCTTCTGAAAACTCTGTTCAGAGCAATTAAATTTAAAAAAAAAAAAAAAAAAAAAAATCTTGTCCTGTGAGATGTTCATCTGCTATTATCTTCTTCTTGAAATATTTTTAAAAGACATTTTCAAAACTGGGTTGTGGGTAATTCTTTTCCTGGAAAGCTAAATTTTTCGTTATTTGGAAGGTTTTAAAATTAAATTTCAACCGATGTTTAGTGATTGTATTTATTCATTTTGGCTACAAGTTTATACCACAATAGTTGCTAACACTGAAAGTTTATGCACCACATATGTAAACTTTTATGCACATAAATTTTACCTGCACCATTCTAAAAACTACTTATGCGCTGAGGCATTAACCATGCAGTCATAAACATTATCTGCCAGTACACACACCACCTTCAGCATCAGTTAAAGCCTTCCTCATCAGGAGCTCTGTTTTCATAAAATCATAGAATCATTAAGGTTGGAAAAGACCTCTAAGATCATCAAGCCCAACTGCCAACCCAACCCCACCATGCCTGCTAAACCATGTCCTGAAGTGCCACGTCTACATGGCTTTTGAATACTTCCAGGGATGGGGACTCCACTGCCCTGGGCAGCCTGGTCCAATGCCTGACCACTCTTTCAGCAAAGAATTTTTTCCTAATATCCAATCTGAACTTCCCCTGACGCAACTTGAGGTTTTCCTGTCAGACTAGAGAAGGATTTGTATGCCTCTGCACATACACCGTATGTGCCATTTATATGCAGTATTGGGACAGAAGTAAAACGGGTTCATGTAGCTGTTCTAATGGAGGGCGAACTTCTTTGTTGCGATGCACACTTCTGCAACCATCTCACTCAGCCGAGTGTGCTGCCACGCAACTCTGCTCATATGCACGCACGAAAAAAACTGACAGATGGCTGCACAAAACCTTCGCACTTCAGTCTAGGTTACTATATAGACAATATATCTAATACAAGCCTACAACGTCTGGAAGTGAAAAGCTGATAATACTCCTCTAGTTTAGCCCCTTATATGTATAGATGTTTGCATTACCGGAAAAGCGTCATGCCACACATCTTGCAGGGCAACCTTGACATAACCGAAGGAAAACAAGCTTCCATAGCCCCATTTCCCAGCAGGACCTTTACATCACACTATCATGTCAAAACTTCACAGTTAATACTGTAACAGTCAGCCTTTGGGATTTTAACAGTAAAGCAAATACCTATGACTTGATAAGCAATGCACGTGCCATGAACACTTATGTACAGCTTTTGTGCTTTTCGTCTAGTACATTAGATGCAGTCATTGATAATGCAGCACTGGCTAGACAATTATGTTTTTGCACACAAGCACATACTAGATTCTAATAGTATTTATCAAAAATATATACACATATACATTTAAGTCTTGATAGAACTTGCAGCCTAAACTTTTCCATATTTAAAATACATCTTGCATTCAAACTTTCAGCATTAGGGATTTGCATTCTTAATAGTATTATCTTAATTTCTGTACATTCAAGATTAGTTATATATATAAGCTCCAATGCATGTTAAGAACTAAGTAGTAGCTAGTTCTTAAAAGTTTAAATTAAAACAATTACTATATTCATACTAGATTTAGTGCTGTGGCTGAGAGCAAACTCTACACTTCACAAACTCAGTTAAAATATATGGGCCAGTTTCACTTTGTTTCTCCCCTGAATGCCATGTTATTATGTCTAATAAGGTCACTCATTGCCTTCAAACTATAAAAAAGGGGGCAGGTTTGGTCAATCAGATTTATGAAGGATAATATTTTAAATTGCTTTAGAAATAAATGCCATTTTTAGAATATTTGAGTTGAAATAAAACTTGTCTGTCATTGACCAGATGGGAAGTTATCATGTTGTAATATACACCAGTTCTTGGCTCTCTAAGCTTCTTGCAAATTGAAATGTACAATGGTGTGACTCACTTGGAGGAAAAATAAAATATAGCAGACATTCCCTACAGCCATGAAGCTAGCACCAATAAATGCACTGAGAAGTTTTGTAACGTGCATATGGAGAGGCATATGTTCTCCCATCCTCGTAGCTCAGTACTAGTGAAAATAAGACTAGCCTCATAAAAAGTGACAAAAGGTGAAGTACATATAAATATCACACATATAAATGTTCAGTTTTGTACAGTAAAAGAAAAAAAAAGAACTCTGATTTGCAAATGGTGTGATTATAAGCCCCAAATGAAGCAAAGAATGAATCACAATTACCACTAAGGGAACTGTAATATAAATTATCAGTAATTATTTAGTTTGATAACCAATCATGTTATTTTGGTTGGTATCCAAGACAGAAAAAAAGAAAACCTCAAATGACAAGTTCAAGATTTTATATGAGAAATAAATGTTTAATCCATGTTAACAACATTGACAAAGATGTTGAAGTCAAATAGATAAGAGGAAACAGACTTTAGCCATGTTTAGGCATGAAAAATAATGTAGTAAATCTGGTTAAATAGTGAAATTGTAAACAAAATCATTTCAGCAACTAGCAAAACTTTCTCTTGAAATATCAAAATTAGGAAGAGTAAATACTTAAAAGGTACATTTATGCCACATTAGAGTCTTCAGTTAAAAATTCAGTGGCCACAGCTGGGAGGTGTACAATGGCTTGTGCTTCCAATTTTGTTATGGAAGCGAATACATATTTTTATTAGACGTAAGAAGTAAAAACATAAAACAATCCAGGAAGAATTAGGATGCTGTAAAAAATGGTTTACTGCAATACTTAAACATAATGTGTCTTGTTAATATTCTAAGTGCAATATTTAAAGAAAGAAAAACTTCCATGACATAAATACACAGTGTAAAACTGATAAAAAAATTGGAACACCTCAGAATATGTCCCTCAAATTACTTCACTAGTTACAGGGTCTTTCACTGTTTTTTTTCTGAGCAGCTAAAAGGTGTGTTGTTAAAAGTAAACGTTAAATACTTTACCAACGTAGTTCACTCATTATCACCAGGACAGTATACATGGCTCCATATATTTGGATTGTCCACACAGAGACACACTAACTACACCTTCTCAGAGATGTGCTTTCTTTGTTTTCTTTCTCCTCATTTTCCTATTTGGTGGTCAAGAAGACGTATATTTTCCCACCTTTCACCCATGGAAAATACGTAAATGTTTGATAGCTCTGGAATAGTTTTGTTCAAGACAAATCTGTCCTAAATAGCATCTGTAAAATCCTCATTCCACTGCAAAAAAGAGAATTATGTCACACTGAAATGGTACCAGCATTTTCTTTACATACTGTAACTCAGCAGAGGGTACTCACTTGTGAAGTCATCTTCCAAACCTCATAACTCACAGTATAATTTAAATTTTGAGTACTGGCCTTGGATTAGGGCATCAAAAAGCTTTTCATCTTTTTTGCAGTGAGTCCTTAATGAAGCATAAATTTTCCCAGAAATAGAGTAGAACCCTTTTACAATGATCATGCAGTCATCGCCTTTCCTATATCCTGCGTTCTCCTCTCCTTTCTCTCTACCCAAGCACAGTGTATGAAACCACTGAGAAATTTCCTTGAAGCGCGATTGAGAGGTAGGCATCCTACAAGCACAAGATCTTTCAAGCTTTAGAAAAACTTCTATTTCAAGCAGGGAAAAGGACACATTCTGAATGCAATGGTTATTCACGCTGTTTGGCATTTTGGTTGGCCAGCCACACGTGTCGGCTCAGTCACAGCATCCGTGGCCTCTGGCTCAGCAGGTGTCAGGGGCACCACGGAAGGAGGCAAGGCTATGGAGAGAAATCAGCATGTTTGGTGTCGTATGGGGAAAAATCATAGGGAAGATACTATGATGTAAAAGTTACAAGGTACTGCACGTACAAGGTAAGAGGTAACAAAACCACAGCACATCGGTCTTCAATAGGTCACCATAGGTCACCACTGACGATAACATATTCCTCCAAGATATAAAAATACTTTCTCAGAAAACACAATAGAAACTCAGAAAAGCAGCTTTCCATGAAAACGGAGAGTGAAAATCTCTCAGGAAATAACTTTTGAAGAGTAGGAGGAGGTGAAGAGGTTAGGAGAGGATCTGCACTGGTGTGGGAGTGCTTGAGGTTCAAAATTAGAAAGGGAATGACAGCACAGCTGGTAGCATATGTCTCATATGTAACTTGTCATTATATGCAGTGACACAGAAAAAGAAATTAAGCTTTTGCCTCTAATCATGCAGTAATCTCCAAAAAAATCAACTACGATCAAGCAGCATATTTTTCAATGAGTTATTTATATATAAAACTTTTTTTTTAACCAGCAATCATAAACAGAGGCACACATTCTTTATCTCCCTTTTAATTATAAGTCTT